ATTTATTTGTCATTTATTGTTAAGATAAAGTATAATGTTTCTCTGTAATGATCGCATCTATTACCCAGGGTGGGCGGACCCCCATATAAAAAGGAGGGGGTGCTCATCATACCTTTTAGGGGTTAAAAACATGGTTTTGGTACCTCTTAGAGTATTCAGGTCCACACCAGGAGCTTTTGTGGTACCTTTTAGGGTATTGAGCTAAAAAAATATATAAATATGACCAGAAATTATGTGTTGTTTTAGAATTGTTACCTCTTAGGGTGAAAATATTTTCAAGCTGCGCCCACAAAACAGGATCTTGGCACCCCTGTCCTTTTTATTTGGGAGCCCCCTCGGATCTAGTTAAGCATTCTCTTTATTCGGATTTTCTTTGTTACGTGTAATAGCTCACTGATGGACAAGACCAAAAATTGGGGTTCTCCTGACAGCTGTAGTCCTGTTGTTCCATTGTTCCCTCTCAAAATGGCTCAACAAATCGACCATATTGTATCTTATTTTTTCTTCTTATTTGAGGACAACTTTGTTCTATTCTTTGGGAACTGCTCGTTTATGTGGCACTGAAATTTTTCCCACCCGTTGTTGTATTACTGGTGCCAGTAAGAACAAATGAATGACATTCTTGCTTTCTGTTTATATTGTTCAGTGTGTACTGTTTTCGTCTTGAAGGTTGTTTTTGGTCGACAACTTGCTGAGACAGACCAAAATCGACCTGCAGTAGGACCAAATCGACCCAGCCTTCATAGCAGGCGTAAAACAGGGATGAGGGAAAGGGAGAGCGAGAGCAGGGATAGAAGGAGGAGGAGAGGACTGAGGAATGCGCTCCTTCCCTTCTTCCGCGCGTTTTTTGCAGCCCTACTCCTTCCCAGGTTATGCCTGGAACGCAGGCTAAATCGACCGTGATCACGAATAAATCGATTTTTTATATAGCCCCCTCTCAGGCCCTCATTTCATTGGTCCTTAGACAAAAAGGGATACATATCAGCTTTGGATGCCGCATATGCCATGCATCAACAATTCAGTAAAATGATTGGATTTCAGTTTCGCGTGATT